TGTTTGCTCCAAATGAAAATAGCAATATAATTGACATGGCAATAATATTAGGAAATAATCACACTTTTGATTTTTGGCTAAATCGTTCAGCCCTACTATAAATGTGTTTGGACAGAAGAGACAATGTAGAGTTGTTTGATGAGGAATAAATTACTAAAACATGTCAGCAAACACACCATCCAGCAGGATGATGATGGAATAATAACTTTTAGATACTGAGTCAACCAAGAGGAACTTTTAAAGTATTTTTATGTGAAATGTGAGGCTATTTGTTTACTAACTGGACTTTGGTCAAAGCTTGGTTATCTGCAGGATGATGACCCCAAACAGTGCATTGCAATTAATATAGACTATATAGAAAGGATTATAGTGGCTTAATACAGTCCAGAAGAAATGTCGAGATGGGATCACTTTTTTATCCAAAGCTGCACCTAGTTTTTCCAACCCTCTGCTTTTAGATTTTTAATAAACGTGTTTTTAATACAATAAGTCTGCATTTTTTTCCCGCTAACATGTGGTTACATTTCAAAGTTCTCCATAAACTGTAAATACCAGATCGATTTTTAAATAAACATTTCTTAGAAGATGTCTCTGACACCTGTTTTTTTTTTTTTTTTTTTTTTTTTAGAGATCAGGGCTCTTATTCTGAAAAGCTCCCTGCACAGAAGGCTGAACTTTAAACGTTTTCAACAAGTTATCAACAGACCTTTTGTTCTACGTCGTGTCAATAGCCCACCATAAATTACAGATCTGCTCAGTAAATCACTCACGTAGAAGTTCGGCTTCTTCCTGCTGTTTAGGCGAAATGTATAAATCATTTACAAAACAGAGCCCGTGGTCTCCCCATTTCTGACAGATCTGTCCGCTTTCTTCTTTTCCAGTACGGACGGCAAGTCCGAAGGGACAAAGTTAAATTCTTCTTCTTCTTTTTTTAAGGCGGTTAGCAAGCAACTTATTGATGCGCTTTACCGCCATCTACTGGAATAGAGTGTGGATCGGGATGCTATATCTAAATTCTCCCATAAAATAAACAAACAAATAAATAAATACCATTATAATAATTAAGTTAATAAATCGTATATTCTTTCTATCAATTTAGTTTTCGTTTTTAAGGTAATTCATTAAATAAATTAAAAAAAAAACATTTAGAAGTAGAAAGTTTGTCTAAAATATCTTGTATATTTAATTGCAATTTATTTTCTAGTAACAGACTAACTAAAATCTTTCTCTCAACAGAATATTTAGAACAGACTAACAAAACATGTTTTACTGTCTCTTCTTGAAAACAAAAATTTAATTTCCTGTTGGATGTTTTAAAGTTAAACATTCATCTGCATTTCGCTTGATAAAATATGTAGTATATAAAACTCTAATCCTACATTTTACCAAATAATAATATATTTTTAATCATGATTACTTACAGTGCCAAAATTCTAATGACTTCTGTTTTTTGTTTTTTTTTTTGGAATAAAATTCCAAAAAAAAAAAATGTTTGTTTCAAGTGCCTATTGGAATGTCGGAAATAAGAGTGTAGTAAAGGAGCGAATCTTGCTTCATCGATGTATAACTGTACGCTTCAGAGATATTATATATATTTCAATACTTTAATATCCTTCCTCATGTAGGTAAGGGTTATCGAGAAAAAAGGTTTCCATTTATAGCAAACCAGATCCCAGGCTGTGATTCTGAACGACAATAATTTTTTATTAGAAAATACATTTAGGGAGGAAAATCATATGCTCCCATTAAACAGAGTAATATTACCGTAATCATTATAATATAACATAAGTAGTACTCATATATTGGAGGGGTATCAGTAAAGTAGTATTTTACCTTTAAATTTAGAAAATAAAATAGTCCATGACAATTGTATCCTATAGGTTTATACTTTTTAGAAATTATTTAAAATAAAGTTCCAGGCATGATCACTAAAGAGAATTAAATAATTTAAGTCCTACTATAATGATATTTAAATAAAAAAGGATAAGTAAAAGGTGAAAACATATTTAAAAGGGCGTAATTAGAAGTTTTTATGATTAAAAAAAGTGAGTTCAGAAGGAGCAAACAAATGCATCATTTATGTAAAAAAAAAATAGCATAACAATTAAGGCAAGGAGTTGCCAGACATAATCTTAATCACTTCAAACATTATTTATTTGAGGTCACAAACAAATTTAAAACTTCTGATGTTCCGTAGTCATTTACTTTCTGAAACTTAAAACAGTCAAAATCTTCAGTTTACCAATTAAATAGAGTGATATTTATTAGACATCTCTTGTAGAAGATTAGACACACATTTTTCCACAAACAGTATCTTTTTTAATGATATATTGCTATGTACAAGTATAAAAATATGTATTACTTTGAACAGAATTTTCGATTTTTCCATTTTAAACTAGAATTAGTCTAGTTATTATAAAGTAAAAATCTGTTTTCTACAAAAGATGTGATATCTGAGTCCGAAACAAAAGAGTATAGTGATAAGATTATTATTTCTTTGTTACAACCTTCCAAGGGTTTTTGCAACAGTACCCTAGCCTCATCAGACCATCCTGATCTCGCGAGCTTTCAAGGTTTCACTCACCAAACAAACGTCCAATCAGCGTTGGCTTTGAGGCGGGTTGAGGCGTGACGCAACGACGCGCGACAATTCAGTCTAAAGAACATGGCGGCTTCAGCCGATGAAACTAGCGTTAGCGTGGCTATCAAGAGAGTTTTATCGGAATTACANTCCTATATCGGAACAGAATATGGCAACCAGACTCTGGTTTGCAGATCTGTATTTGAATGGACTATAAAGTAGGGCTTTGCAATTAGTTGAATTTGTAATTTTGCAAAATACAATTTTCAAATCTCAGAGGCACTCAGTTTTATTCACACTTCATTTAACAAGAGTAAGACAGTGCATTTCTCCCTTCAGGCCTTTAGGTGGCAGCAATACACTTAAAGTGAGTTTGCTGCCACGGATGGGAAGAAAGAGTTGCAGCAAGCATGATCCAGATCCATGCAGGATAGTAGAAGAACATTTTCATTCATACAGTAAAGTCCTGCAACACTGGATTCTGGACAAGAAAGATTTCAAGGTCATGAAAAAACTGAAACCCAGAGGTGAAACATCTACATGTTTCTGTTTGCTCCAAATGAAAATAGCAATATAATTGACATGGCAATAATATTAGGAAATAATCACACTTTTGATTTTTGGCTAAATCGTTCAGCCCTACTATAAACGTGTTTGGACAGAGGAGACACTGTAGAGTTGTTTGATGAGGAATAAATTACTAAAACATGTCAGCAAACACACCATCCAGCAGGATGATGATGGAATAATAACTTTTAGATACTGAGTCAACCAAGAGGAACTTTTAAAGTATTTTTATGTGAAATGTGAGGCTATTTGTTTACTAACTGGACTTTGGTCAAAGCTTGGTTATCTGCAGGATGATGACCCCAAACAGTGCATTGCAATTAATATAGACTATATAGAAAGGATTATAGTGGCTTAATACAGTCCAGAAGAAATGTCGAGATGGGATCACTTTTTTATCCAAAGCTGCACCTAGTTTTTCCAACCCTCTGCTTTTAGATTTTTAATAAACGTGTTTTTAATACAATAAGTCTGCATTTTTTTCCCGCTAACATGTGGTTACATTTCAAAGTTCTCCATAAACTGTAAATACCAGATCGATTTTTAAATAAACATTTCTTAGAAGATGTCTCTGACACCTGTTTTTTTTTTTTTTTTTTTTTTTTTAGAGATCAGGGCTCTTATTCTGAAAAGCTCCCTGCACAGAAGGCTGAACTTTAAACGTTTTCAACAAGTTATCAACAGACCTTTTGTTCTACGTCGTGTCAATAGCCCACCATAAATTACAGATCTGCTCAGTAAATCACTCACGTAGAAGTTCGGCTTCTTCCTGCTGTTTAGGCGAAATGTATAAATCATTTACAAAACAGAGCCCGTGGTCTCCCCATTTCTGACAGATCTGTCCGCTTTCTTCTTTTCCAGTACGGACGGCAAGTCCGAAGGGACAAAGTTAAATTCTTCTTCTTCTTTTTTTAAGGCGGTTAGCAAGCAACTTATTGTTGCGCGTTACCGCCATCTACTGGAATAGAGTGTGGATCGGGATGCTATAAATAAATTCTCCCATAAAATAAACAAACAAATAAATAAATACCATTATAATAATTAAGGTAATAAATCGTATATTTTTTCTATCAATTTCGTTTTTAAGGTAATTCATTAAATAAATAAAAAAAAAAACATTTAGAAGTAGAAAGTTTGTCCAAAATATCTTGTATATTTAATTGCAATTTATTTTCTTGTAACTGACAAACTAAAATCTTTCTCTCAACAGAATATTTAGAACAGACTAACAAAGCATGTTTTACTGTCTCTTCTTGAAGACAAAAATTACAATTTCCTGTTGGATGTTTTAAAGTTAAACATTCATCTGCATTCCACTTGATAAAATATGTAGTATATAACACTCTAATCCTATATTTTACCAAATAGTAATATATTTTTAATCATATTTACTTTTTTTTTTTTTTTTTTTGGAATTAATTTACAAAAAAAAATGTTTGTTTCAAGTGCCTATTGGAATGTCGGAAATAAGAGTGTAGTAAAGGAGCACATCTTGCTTCATCGATGTATAACTGTACGCTTCAGAGATATTATATATATTTCAATACTTTAATATCCTTCCTCATGTAGGTAAGTGTTATCGAGAGAAAAGGTTTCCATCTATAGCAAACCAGATCCCAGGCTGTGATTCCGAAAGACAATCATTTTACATTAGAAAATACATTTAGGGAGGAAAATCAAATGTTCCCATTAAACAGAGTAATATTAATCATTATAATATAACATAAGTAGTACTCATATATTGGAGGGGTATCAGTAAAGTAGTATTTTACCTTAAATTTAGAAAATAAAATTATTTAACTTCATTTATTTAAAATAAAGTTCCAGGCATGATCACTAAAGAGAATTAAATAATTTAAGTCCTACTATAATGATGTTTAAATACAAACGGATAAGTAAAAGTTGGAAACATATTTAGAAGGGCTTATTAGAAGTTTTTATGATTAAAAAAAGTGAGTTCAGAAGGAGCAAACAAATGCATCATTTATGTAAAAAAAAAAAAAAAAAAA